CTTATCCCCCACAAACCTTTTCCACAGTAATAAAAAGTGCACTGTTAGTCTGACTTCCATTAAACTTCTTCATGAAAAAAGCACTAGGTCCATGCTGAGGATATGTTCAGTTGCCTGTATAACTATATTCATGGTGTCGGTCTGCCCAACTTCCTCCATGTCTTAAACTTCAAAACATAAATGTTAGACTAAATAGCTTAAATCTCATAACATTATATATTTATTATTTTTATTATATTGATCTTTCAACCGTGCTTGGCCTACAAAACAGAAGGTACAATGACATGGCTAATGTGTACTCATGTTACCCAATCAAATAACATAACACTGACCTTTGGTTTGTACAAAGTAACTTGCCTAAATAGATTATTGATATTTTGAAATAAGTTCTTAAACATATTTTTCCCAAAACATAGAAAAGTAAATAAAGAAGTAATGCAAACAATTATCTCTTCTAGTTACGACCTTTGTACTTGGTTGCTGCTTGACGTAAGTTGCTAAGCCTTTAAAAATTTTGCATGTGAAGGATATGAAACTTTTTTTTTTAGGTTTGACATATAAATCTGAATAACTAAAAAATCATATATTATTACATTAATACCATAGAATTCCACTATAATTTATAAAGCTTAGTAACTAAGATGTATTTTAGTCTAAAAAGATATGAAATTTCGAGCAGACTAAAGACACACTCTACCTCATTGAAATATTGGTTCAAAAGAAAGAAATGATGCCAAGTCTGCTAAAATAGCTGAGAAAGCCAGTAGGGGGATATTCTGAGCTGCTGATTGGTTATTCATGTCAAATATAGAAGTAAGTGTAATATAAGAAAGCATTTCCAAAAATGGAAAAAGGTGGGCAGGATGCCACTGTGTTTGATTTATTACATGAGCAATATATTGGCAAATTGAAAAGAGGCTCATATTTTATATTCTATCTTGTCAATATAGGTAATTTGAGTTTTTAATTTGTTCAAAACTATAGACTTAGTATTTTTGACTTCACAAACGTCTAATTTGAACCAGTGCTGCATTCAGTATACCATGACACATAAAAATCTATGTTTATCTGTTTTTTTTTATATTTGCCCTTAAAATAAGAAATTTAGTAATATATAGTATTAAAATTGGAATTATAATCTACAGTTTGATACCAAACTTACTAACATAAATTCATGAAATTGTAGTTCAATAAAATTTTGAATGTGAGTCAACAAACGAGATGACATAGCCTTTCACCCATGACCTGTCTCGAAAGGTTTAATAGCCAACAGGGTCAAGTGTGAAATGTTTGCAACTATCATATAAGTTACTTTTTTTAAAGATTCATATTTTATAAGAGTCCAAAACAGTAAATGACATGGCCTTTCACCCGTGACCTGTCTCAAATGGGTTAATAGCAAGATTAATACATCTTATAGAAGTCCAAAATAGTAAATTTTTTGTTTTAATATTTTAATTTAGACTTAATTTCTTGTTTTTAGGTTGTAAGTTTCTAGAATATTCTGTAGACCTAGTGCATAATGTATAAACAAATTATTTTAGAGTTGTAACTGTATTTTACTTTAGAACTTTTAAGGTCAATCATCTTATTTCTCAAATATAGGGGAAGCTTTCAAACAAAGGAGGGGGGGTGTTAACTCAAAGTTGTGTTTGGTTACACAATTGGAGTATGTTCAAGAGGACTAGAAAATGAGTGGCTCCACCACCACTATAGGGATTGGTTACATGTTCCAGCTTGGTAATTAGTGGAATTAGTTAATTTATTAACTGTCTAGTCCATTGATTGATTACACTCAAATAACCAATTCTTCTCAAGAGATGGCTAAACAAAACAACTTATAATGCTACAAATCAGGTTTCTGTACCCATGGTGGGCACAGCACAGCTAGTCAACTGTATAACTTTGTGCTTAACAAGAAACAAACACAATGTCAATATTTCAATGGCTGTATAGTTGGAATAACTGAAAACAGGAATAATTGGAAACATTAGTTATTTTCATAACCTTTAATTAGTCAATTATTTTACAGGACACTAATTGATGTAATCGATGCTCATAGATAATTGATTATATCAATTAAGCAAATTAATCACCCAGCTCTATAGCACATATGAGTCAGACTTACAAGAAAGAGTCAGTAACATAAAAGCTGAACTACCTCACAATGGAGTGCACAGTTAAATCTGTTACTGTGCTCAATATCACAGGCACTTATTAAGTAACAGTTACCAAGTGCTTTCAAAAGAGCATTTAAACACAGCCATTGTAGATCCATGGGTTACCATCTTTATCCATAATCACAAAGCATGATAGTTGATAAGTTTCCAGCAGCAAATGAATGTAGCATTAAAATGAATATTGCATGTTAAAGCAGAATATGAAGCTAATAATAATAATAATAAAAGATCCTGCTTATGTTGTTTTTATCTTCAAGAAGATAAAGTAGCACTATGAAGATATTTTGTGAAAATTATCTTTGTCAACAGCAAAATATCAATGCTTGATGATGATATTTTTCAGTCACAAGGACTTATTTTGATCTGTTCAACTATCAGCAAACATAATGGGTCTAAAGTACAGTGTTATAATTTATGTTCATTCTAGAATGAAAGAGGCATAATTTATATTTATTTCCTAATTTCTTATGGTGGTTGCGAGATTGGCCAAATCTGTCGAACTTGTACAGAGATTAATTACTGAAAATAACAGATAAAAAATATAGTTTTTCTTATGAAATGTTTGATAACTATCTCGACATTATAAAAGATTTCGCATGTGGAATTTCAAACTTTTTAGATGCATAAAAGTATTTTTAATCTTAAAATTAATATTATTTTGCTTGATAGATAGGCAACATGAGAAAAGAAAAAATAGACTTGAAAAAAACATTGCTTTATAAACCTTAAGACTTAATAAACAAAATTGATATTTTGCTTATGAAAGCATTGTAATGTTTACTGATAATCTGTGAAATTTTGTTAACATTTGATTACTAATTTAAAAGTTATAGCATGAAAACTATAACAAGCACAAAATGGTTATGAGGTCAGTCCCAGGGACTGAGCCCATCTTCTGAAAGAGTTAAACAGAACAACAAAATGGAATTGTAATATGAAACTATGAGAAAAACATAGTTATTTTATGTATACTGTGGGTTTTCAACTTGTATATTTCAACCACGATGATTAAAAATTAATATTGAGCTGTTGCTTAAAAAAATACTAAAGATTTACTTTTTCTTACTCTTTCAAATTGGAAGTTACTCAATAATTAATTTGTTCATTTTCCACATAACAGTTCCTGAAATGAAAAAGACCATGTATACATGATGAGTTTTTGTAATTCATTCTAATGTTATACATGTGTAGATTTGGTAAAGGTACTGGTTTTGTAGATAACTTATAACCCCAACAAAGAATGGAGTAATTTCAATGTTTTGTTTCTACAGATAATTTTCAACTTTAAGTTTAAATATGGCATTCTTAAAGTGCTTAGTGACGGCAAAGCTCAGAAATATGAAAACACAACAAAAGGCATGTACAGAAAACAGTCACATGCTAACTGAATACAAATTTTAACCTTAAATACATACTGAAAAAAAGGCAGAGAAATTTATCTATTTTAAAACTTTATATTGAAGTGTAGAAACTTTTGCATGGTAAGTGTTTAAACAACTTAGTTAAAAATATATTACCATGAAAAATGTATTGAAATAAAAGCTTTTGATATTAAAATAGCATCAATTGGTCATTGTGGAAGCTTCTTGTTGAACTGCAATTGCCGTTTAAATATGATTAAAAGAAAATAAACTTCTAGATTAATGTTAATATATCCTAATTGACTATTTTAATTAAATAAATCAAAACTCCATTACAATAAATTATATATATAATGTAAAAATGGGGCACATGAGTGAAACTAGTATATAAGCTACTCATGTACTACTTTGCAAATTGTATATTAGGCCTGACAAAAATTAAACTAATTTGTTTAGTCATGTTTATTCATTATGCATTACTTTATTCTATCATTTGTAAAAATTAGAAGATATATATGAAAAGAAATATTACCTTAAGATAATTAAAAGTTACTTCAAGCAGTACATTCAAAGCTACTATTTTATTTACTATACAGTACACAATATTTTCACATTTAAAAATTGTCTCTGTAGAAAATCAGAACAAGTAGTTTACACTGGATTAGTATGCAAAAAAGACTTTGATAATTTATATCTTGCTAATAAGTTTGCAAATTTTTGTGAAACAACAATACAGATATCTTTCAAAATTAGCATTTCAAAATACACACATCAAACTATTTATCACAGCAATATCTATATGGATGTGTTTTAATGCTCAATACACTGTAGTCACATTACAAACACCATTTTAAATGAGTAAATAAGTAAATTTAATGACACTGAGATTGCAATCACTCGCAAATTATGAATGTGTGACAAATCTCGAATGGAATAAAAAATTCTGGAAATTAGTAGAAGGCATTTATAATTTGCAGAACAATTGGAATTTTCCAGTCAAATCAAAACATTTCCATGTTCAAGAGTTAAATTATGTTAATGTATGTATGTAGCTGATAACTTGCAAATTTTAAATACACTTGCCTGTTGTAACTGAAACCTAATTTATTGCTATATTTTTTTCATTACAAAAAAACAAAAACAGACTAGTTCAGTCAAAAAACAAACCAGGCTAATTATGTAGATGAAATTTGTATACAGAAGTATTATGTGAATAACTTGTACTCTAAATGTAGATAGTAAAATTTTGCATTTTGAACTTTTCTGCATGTGTATAATTGTAAAATTTAAGTGAAAAATGTTGCAAGAAAACATTTTAGGCTACAACTTTTCACTACAGAACATTAAATATTCTTTTAATATGAAACAATTTTTTTACCAAATCATTATACATAATTAAATAATTACAAGTTTGATACACACAATTCAGAGATAAAGCTTTGAAAAAAAAAATTCTCACCTTGTCAGTTTCCACTTCACCTAACACATCATCTTCAGCTACTACATCTCCCACCGCTGAAAATAAAAATCTTACAAGACTCAATTTCAAAAAATGAAGTTATATGAATACCACCCAGTCTTGACCATTATAAGTTACCTCACTAGAAAGTAATGCTTAGTATACCATAGTTTTATTTGGAGCATAGTAACAGCATAAACTGTACAAAATGTATACATTCATCAACTTATAAATTCAAAAAACATCAGAAGTTAAATTAAAATTGTTATGACTACTGTGCTTCATCAAAAAGTATATTCTTCTTGAAAGAAAAAACACAAACTATTGTCCATATGTATAATAAGTAAACCATAAGAGTTTGAAGTTATTTTCAGCAAAAGAGAACCAATAAGGAGAGATAATAATTTTATTAATACCCAAATGATCTTAGCAAAGTTTCTTCCAAAATAATTTATTTTTTCTAAAATGAGATGCTTCAACTCTTTCTTTATCCTGTAAGTAGTTTATATTATGAATTTAAAACATGCTTGTATATCAGAATAAGATGTTTTATTCAAAGCCATCAAGGCGTGTACTCATAACGTTTCATCCCAAAACAATCACAACACTTTCTCGTGTCAAAATCACAGAATCATCTTATGACTTATCAAGTACTTGTTCTGTACTTCTTATATAATGTCTGGTTTTATTTTAATATTAGCAGCAGTTTCACTGGACACTTGAGCTACTACACTGATTTATTATTCAGTGTCCTTTATGCATTTCTAATTACTCATACCTTTATCCCATCTCATGTCACCTTCACTGATAGACTCAGCCAGTTGAGGAACAGTAACTGTTCTAATCTCATCACCTATTAAAATGTAAAATAGATTTAAAAATTACAGTTAGAAACTGTAAATTTTTACATTATTACTTAAGAATATATAGATAAAATAAAATGCTTTAACCTCCAGCAACAGTCATTGTCTCTGTTATTTGGTAATATAAAAATTAAAAAGTTAAACTGATGGCTGAGTAATGTTAAGCATGTTTGTTTTCCGATAACACAGGAAAAGTCTATTGAGGAAAATAATACTTCCGTTTCATTAGTCAGACAAATATATTTTGTAATCTTGATGATCACTTATAACAAAACTGTCTAACAACTTTGCAAGTGGTGAAATGAGAGTTCTTAAGATTGTTATATTATTTGTTACATTGAGCTTAATGAAAAACTAAATCAAGAAATTGATCAATATGCAAAATATACTCTCATTCTGAAGTGATCCAAGTTCAAATGCACCACACCAATGAACACCACAATGAGTGTTCATACTATATAAACAGCTGTTTTACATCCCACTTATTAAAATATTCCTAATGAATATTAAGATTTTGAATACACATGATTTGCTCTATTATTTTGAATACAAATAATTCATCTTAGAAAAAGACCATGTGCTATACTCAAGGTTTATATAAACATCCAAATTCTGTTTTCTGACTTATAAAACCAGTTAAATATTATTATTTTTACTGGAAATTCATTAACAACAATTAGAACTTGTAATATAAAAACTAAATAAAAAATATCTTTTAATACTAGAAATAAACAACCTTAAAACACCCAATTTGTTATTTTTCTTTAATTGAATACACAGTGTTTCACTTTACAGCTTTTTCAGGTGCATTCTACTAAAACGTAAGTCGTCATTTCGGTTCCACAGTCCTTGGTAATGCAAAAGTATTCTTATTTCTAATTTTTTTGTCCAAATTAACAAAGGGATAACATGCAAAACATTAATGTGATTCAAATTTGTAAATAACTTATGCTGAATCTTTAAAAATTAACTTACATTGGAAAACTTTAATATTTTATTTATTTGATTATTTTTATCCAACCTGTTAACAATTAGTTTTTCTTTAATTTATAAAATTTGTTCATTTGATTTTCTAATATAGTCTCATCAATTTCTCCATGAAAAAATAGAATACAACCTTACTTTGACTTACATATTCTGGCAAAAAGTTTATCACAAACTGATGTATATAAATATACACTTACTATTTTTTCTTATAATATTATTTCTAAAAAAGAAAGCATTTGTACATTACTTTAATCACAATTACATATAAAAGCAGGTATATTAGTTAGAATAAAAAAAAGGTTAAAACAAAAAATACAATTTCTATTTTGCTTCAAAGAATGTTGTTCTTTTTTCATACAAGTACTAGTTTTATAGATTCTTATTACCAAAGATAGTTACAACAATTGCTTACTACACCTAAATTATTCATACCAGCAGAAACGGCACCCTATGGGCCACTTTTTTTGTGCTAGTAATTACTAATCGTTGAAAAAAATTTAGAAAAAGTAGAACATTTTCTAAAAAAGGATTTTTCTGGGAAGTACTGTACAGGACAAGTGTTCAGAATGTACTGATATAAACTGTAATGTTTTTATGTATTAAAAGTGGTACCCTTTATTGTAAAAATAACAGATATTTTTAAGAACTCCATTTTTTTAGTACTATAATTACAAATTATATCAATAAAGATATAATCAAATCCTCACAAACAGCCTAGTGAAAATCATAATATTCTTGTGTGGAAAGTACTTTTATTTAAATATCTGTTCTATGATAAAGTAAATGGTTGTTGCACATACCATAATTATTTTTCTGTCTGAATCTCGAATATCCAGGGTGTATAATTTTTTATGTTGTTTGTGTGCCATTGAATAGATGGCACCACATTGTATATATTATTTTGGACACATATATAGAAAGATACACATATACAAACTACGTCCATTATAGTAAGATAAAAAAACTCATTTCATTATTAAACTGGAAGATACTAGTAGTGCGAATAAAACCAAATGATCTTCTGACTATTTTGCAGGTATTTATTCCCAAATTCAGATCTATTGTTGCAGTATTATCTCATGACCACATTGCAAAATGTGATTTTTGCCAGTACAATTAATTGTAAAAAAATAATGGCATAATCACAAAATGTTAATCAAGATGTTACTATCAGTCACACATCCTTCTCCATCCTTTAACCTTCCTCTTCAATTCCTAGTATCTTCTTCCTTCTTTCAGCTCACTTAGCAGCTGAATCTTCTTCCTTCTAAGACCTCTCTAACCTTTATGATGCGATAAGCAGATATATCCACTTTGGCATTTATAGCCATTTGATGTGACAAGCAGATTTACCCCACGGCTTCACAAAGACTTGTCCTTCTACTGCAACAAGCGGGAATAACCTCATGTTTTTGAAAGCTTTGCCACACCTATGTTGTGCTGCCCTCTGTGAGCAACACTGCAAATAGTGGATGTGTTTACATATGCTCAGCAGTCAGCTCACGTGGTAAGCAGCTCTGTGATTCAAGGTAAATTTTACTCATTTATTACCATTTTTATACGATATACCTTACATATATATTCAGTATTACACTATCTATCATCTGATATACTAATACAAGTCAGAGGTTTTGTATTGAGGTGGTAAAACGAATGTACAAGTCAGTGTTCTTAATTTTTCAATCGTATTTTCTATTCAGCATTTGTGTGTATATAAGGGAATTGTTGTGCCAGATATAGAAAACATATCATCTCAATTTGATATAGAAAAAGAACTAGAAAAGATCAAATTCCTAATTTCATTTTTGGTGGATAATTGACGCTTTTCGGGAACCAGCCCAAAATGTAATTATGCACAAAATTTCTTTTCATTTTCCCAAACAAACTTCTTTTCTCTTGCACCATTTCTATTACTTCTTCATTCATATATTTTTCTGTCCAATTGATTTTCTAATTTCTTTGCCAAACCAACATTCCAAAACTTTTTAATCTTCTGATGTCATCTTTCCTCAAAGTCCATGTTTGTCACCAAACTCCAAAAACATTTTATTCAATCTCTTCAGTTTTCTGTCCAATTGTTTTCTTAAAATATTCTTTCTAAATACTTATCTTTCTTCTGAAATTCTTGATCTTATTTATTTGGAGCATTTTCCATATTGTGTTCTAATACTCCCCAAATAACAAAACTGTTCTTCCTCATCTAATTGTTGTCCTTCTACATAATGTTCATCCATCCTTCTACTTTTTATTTCTTCTTGAAAACCTCATCACTTTTGTTTTGTTTACCTTGACCTTCATTCCTAACTCCTTTACTTTTCATTCACTTTTTCTATCAAAATGAGGCCCATATTATCTGGTATTCAATAAATTGTATCCTTAGAGTTGCACAAGTGTTAGGTATTCTATCAATTAATTTCTGCTTTGAGCTCAACAATTGTTGATTATGAGTTACCAGTCACAATGCAATATGCTGAAACAAAAGTGATATACTGCAGTCAATCAAGGCTGCTTGTTGCAATACACCCACATAAAGCCCCTTCAACAAAACTTCTCAAATAGATAATTGTACTAATTTTAATAAGATCCATGAATTATTCATAAAAAAATGAAGAAATCACTAAATAGCAAAAAAGTCATTAAAATCAGTTGAAAGCAATAACTTACTAACTGGTGAAAAAAATCAAACGGTAGCTAGAGTGACTTAACACTATTATTTTCATAACCTAATCCACACAGCCCAAATCTAGTGTCATACTGTTAAAACAGTCACAATGTACAAATCTAGTGTCCCAGTGTTAAAACTTGCACTGCACAAATCTAATGTCATAGCATTAAAAGAGTAATAATGTACTAATATAGTATTACTTAAAACCAGTGTTAATGAATAGTGTGACAACTATACAAAATCAAATCACATATGTACTTGTTGCTACAGATGCTCACATTCCCTTAGTTCATACATGGTTTAAAATGTGTATTATTCTAAGCACTATTTAATTAACTATAAACAAATGTAATAGAAGGATTACTTACGTACTAAATTTGTTGTTCTAATTCCTCTGCTACTAACTGGTGCTTGGAACCTCAGATGAGATACACAGCTAAAAATAAAAATAAAGCAAAAATTATTTAGCACAATTACAGTCTGTTTGTTTTTATTGAACCAGTCTATTTTCATCTTATTTTTCTTTTGACTGAAACAATCAGTTATTTTATTATTTTTGTTAAGTTAGTTTTATTTTTCGGAAGTACCTGAGCTTCATAACAATGGAAATTTTATAAGCTTGAAACATGAAATTAAATTTGAAGAACCTACGTATTTTTTTGGAAAACAATATCTTTCACTAGAGAACTGTTCTACACACAAGATTCTTATTCTCTCACTTTATAGATTTGTATAATTAAACAGTCCTAATTGTGACTGGATTCTTATTCTCTCACTTTATAGATTTGTAAAATTAAACAGTCCTAGTTGTGACTGGATTCTTATTCTCTCACTTTATAGATTTGT